GTAAAAGGCACTAGGTTGAATTCACAAACCTAGTTAAATGCTACAAATGCTACTGTCTGCACAAAGAAACAGAATGGCAAATCCTGAGTGAAGTGGAGAGTAAGAACTAGCCGAACAACAAGTTGAGGCAGAAAACAGATGAGTTTCTCTAAGATTAAAAACTCATGGTCGTAGTTTAGATAGATGTGATAAAAATATATGGAAAAATTGTGTCTTGGATCTGTACGGGTAAAATGGTATGGCAGAGAGCCTCATGCAAGAATTCCAAATTATATAGATAGAAGAAAAACCCAGTACAAAAGAAGAAGACAGCCACAGAGATCAGTCCCAACATAATTCTCTCTTGAAAACATGTTTTTCAAAGCAACAATAAATGGCATGGACAGTAACTCCCATGCCACTTAGACTCTGGGCTGACTTAACTTTACTAGAATTCCAATCCATAAGGACAGGCTTCTGAATAGATTGAAAGTGGAAAGGATCAAGAACTAAGCTGATAGGAAGTGCATAGATTATAGGATAGATTCTGAAATGGACAAGCAGCCCATACCAAAACACAGCTTGTAAAATATTACGTGTAAACCAGTAAATATGACACAAAGAAAGTTAGGAATTATAATTATGTATTTATAATGACATGAAAGGAAATCTGTATTTGGTGCTTTAACCAAAGATAGTCTAAAACTTATATCGAATGATTATATTTTTTTTCAGATTTAAAAGTAGTACTTTTTCTTGTTACTTCGACAAGATTCTCCATAACAAACACCATTGAACAAAACAAAGCTTCCACACCAACTTCCCCCTTCCATGCCATGATGGAGAGAAACCTAGTATTCTTAACTGAACCTTAAATACTTTCATATTCCAAATGCCAACATCAACTAAAATGATTAAATAATTGATACATTGATGTAAATCTCCCATTATGTTATTGTTATTTTCTTTCTTATATTTGATTAGTTTTAGTTTTTATTATTATTATTTATTTTCCCACATGTTGAGAAGTATCCTTCTTAAAAATATATATTTATTCTCTGGGATGGACCTAAATAATTATGTGCGAGGGGGCGGCCTTTAACAATAACAAGATTAAATAAAAAAATCCAAACCTTGAGGTGGGGGCAATAGTAAGGTTTATTTATAATTTTAGTGGGGACAATTTTAAAATTTTATTGGTACATAATTCAAAGCAAAAAAAATTGTAGGTATATAATAGCAACCTAAAAAAATAAGTGGGAACAATTGCCCCCACTGGACCTTGAATAGGTCTGTGCATGTGGACAAGGCTCCCTTGCTACGGGTTTGAAGCAATCATATCTCCACGTCCAAGACCTCTAGGTTGTAATTAGCAACCTTGCACCAATGCCCGCTCTCATTCTTAACCATACATATGTGTAAAACAGCTTTGCTTGTTAGGAACATTGGGATATTCACTAACTAAGCTATAAAACAAATCCAATTTACTTCATGATGTTGAACTATTCAATATATGGTGAACTGAAACCACAACAACATACATTAAGATTTCAACATGGTATCTCCGGTCTATCCCACCGAATAAGCAATAGGGAAGTTCCGAGCCCTGCTAAGGGTCTGAATTTTGCAGGGAGGGGAGTTAGGTTCTGTGAAGCTAGATATTAAAATATATATATATTTGAGGCAAATAAGAATGGCATAAGGAGTTTAATTGGCAAATAAACAAATTTAACCCTAGTCAGCTCCCCCCTCTCTGAATCTTTGCTTTTTATGTCACATTTTTTGATTCCCAACTTCTCTAATGGGCACAAAGACTAATGACATTAATAGTGGAAAAAATATAACACAGCAGCAAAATTATATATTGAAGATAGGAGGAGGTGTGGTCAGTCTTATTAGTATCACAAAAAATCGAAAAAGAGAACAATATTTACACATTGCAGTAGGCCATGGATTGACAACCAGAGTTCCACCAAACACATTAACGCCTAAAGGAGAAAAAAAGAAATGATCTCAAATGGTACCATCTTTATCAAAAGAATCAAAATGTACCAAAAGCATTTTCTCATACACAAAGATATTAATGTATGTAGAGATTTTGGCCATCCCTTTGATAAATTACAGCTGTCACGGATTGCGTACAAGGAAATAAGAGCATCACGTAAATGATTCTAGGTGTGCAATTCATGAACTAGTTATCAGATATAAAAAAAGTTTGAGAATTTAAAACTTATCATTTCATATCAAGTTTGTGACACCCATAATTCAATTACACCTTTTTTGTTTAACATAAATATTTGGACTAATTGTGACAAATTTTTTTCGAATCGTTGTTCTCATTTTAAAATAAAACTATCATTTAAATCCTTTCTCATTACTTTTTCGTATCTCCTCCCTCAATCCATATACATGTAGTATATATATATATATTTTATTGTCTTTATTTCTTTCATTCATTTTTTTCATTTTTTTCCTTTTTTTTTTCTAAATTGTTGCCATTAGCCTTTTTTCGGTCATTCCTTTCATTTTTTTTTTTAAACCAGAACAAATAAGACAGGAATATTCATCAAATTAGAAAAAATTTTATTAAACCAAATTGTTATTAAATTTTAAACAAGAACAAATAAGAATACGGAATCTAGAAAAAAATTTAGAAACAGGGGAATGTTTACCAAATTTGTTATTAAGCCATAACAATTTAGAAAAAAATAAAATGAAAGGAATAACGGGAAAAAAGGTTAATGGCAACAATTTAGAAAAAAAAAAAAAAAAAAGAAAGAAAGTGGGGGAATAAAGAAAAAAAGAAAAAAAAATAAAGGCAATAAAAAATATATATATACTACCCGTATATGGATTGAGGGAGGAGATACAAGAGGTAATGAAAAATGATTTAAAGGGTAGTTTTGTCTTTAAAATGTGAGTTTTGTTTTAAAATATGTAATATTTTTCACGTTCCTTGAGAATATCAAGAAAGAGTAATTAATGAGAGTTAAAGTAGCCAATTAGAAGAGCGACTGTGAAAGGACCGTTGTCGCTTTGCATTTTTCTTTATTATTTGATTGAATATTAAATGCCTCGTTTTGACAAATATATCATTAAAAGGATTTATTAAATGTGTCGAGTTTGAATTTACTTATTTAGTAGACACGATTATGACTCACGAACATGAATTGCCATCGTTATATGGTGCACATACTTGGAAACAACAATTTAGCTGGGGCATTTAATCAAACAGTGGATGGATACACTTATTTAACAAAACCTATAAAAAATAATAATAATTAAAAAAAGAAAAAAGAAAAAAAAGAAGCTAGCCCAGCGGGGCTTCAGCAATGAGCTCCTACAATTTCAAGGTAAGATGTAAACTGTCTTAAGATATTTTTTATTTTAAACCCACACAATAGAGCAACCTCAACGCCCTCACAAAACAAACAAATAAAAAAGAAAAAAAAAGAGTAAAAGGGGATAAATTTATGTGTTGTGGAAGGAGACAACTTCTCAATGGATATAGATTTGGTCCAACACCACATTTTATGACGGCATTAATTGAAGTTTTACATGCAATGCACTAAAAGCAACAATTCAAACAAGTTCTAATTACAAAATTAAGAACATCAATAAGAAAATCACAGTATTAAAGACGATAAACCTTTTTTTTTTTTTTGTAGCTTTAAATTCGATTGAATAATAAAAATTCAGGAAATAAATAAATAAAAACCAGTGACCATTAGCCTTTGCGAAATCTCTCAGTACTGTCTTTGATTCATAGCCTCGTCTTCATGCTCATCTCCTCTATATCATTTACAGTCCGCAAACATTGAGAATAAGATTTGTAGATCTTTGTGTCTCACTCCAAAAGTCCATTTCAGAGATGGTTTTGGGCATCAAAGAAAAAGATTGAAACGCTCAATTTCTTGAGCAACAAACAACTGAACTCTTATGTTTTTTTCTTTTCTTTTTTAGAATATTAATATAACAATATTCGTCGAATCATTTCATAAAACAATTACTAAAAAAAATAGGTTAAAATCATAAAATTCTCATTACACCATTATCCTTTTTGTAGTGACGAATCTTGTATGTGTTCCTAAGAAAAGGAATTTGTCCATTTTTTGGGTCTCAAAGACGTGCATCAAATTTATCATGTATCCCACCCTTAATTGGGTTATAAAATGTCGAAATTGATTTTATTATTTAATATTAAATTAAGAATATATATATATATATTTTAAATTACAAAAAAGTGCAGTATATATAATTATTACATTCTTTAATGACAAATTTTCTTGATTGGCCGATTGTAAAATATAATCACAGTACTGTGTGTTTTTTTGGGAAAAGTATTCAGACTTTGAAGAATGTGCTTAATTTTTTTATCAATGTCAAATTGTCAATTCACTTTAAAAGTGTAGTATATTTATTTTTTCATCAATCTAAAACAAAAAAATTAACTTGAATTCTTAGTTATTGTATTGGTGACCAAAAAAAAAAAGTTATTGGATTGAAACGTGATATACATTCTCTCAATTAAACAAATGACAATATAAATTTATATTTAGAATGTTGAAGCAAAAATCTGATCGGCATTTCTATAACAAAACATTTATTTTGTTTCCGTTAAAACAAAATACGTACCAGCGCAACTACAGAGGTGATTACTTGCAGAAGTCAATCACTGGGTTCAGTGAGAATAATGGACCTGGGCCATCTATTAACACTGACATTCGAAACAAATGACAGTCACATGGTGGTGGGCCTGGTTGGTCCTTTTATTAGATGCATGATGCAAAGTAGCCTTTTGGGCTAGCTCGGCCCATTTGCATGGGTTAAGACTTTTCACTAATCGGAGATTATTCTTAGATGATTCAATCCTATTCCTGTTGGGACTCTAATTTGATTGACCGACACAATTTATCACATGTTAAGGTTTGAACTATAACACAAGTCCCATATCGAAAAAGTACAAGAACTTGAAAAAAATTATAACTATAAAAACACCACATGGGAGATTTAGAAAAAGCATCATTGCGCTAGGGGCAATGACGCAGCCAGTGAGGTTTTAACCGAGGCGCGTCAATTGCTGGTTGAAAACTATTTCCTTTTTTTATCGCTCTCTTTGGCTTGGGTTCCGCCTAGGCTATCGAGAATTTTTGGAAGGGCTCCCTTCTTGGGTAAAGCCCTACAATTCCGAGTTCCAAACTTTTATTCAAGCAAAAAAACCAAAAATCACACACCCATTATATATTTTGTCAAATTCAATTCACAAGAACATACATTAAGATTTCATCATGGTATCTTCTGGGCGATAATACCCTTTTCCACACACTCCGTAGCTACCTAAGGAGAAAGATATCTATATATATATAATTCATAATTCATGTTTCAAAGTTTTCTTCGAACTTGCATGTGGTTCGAATAACGAGAAGTGTGATGACGGACAATACCGATGAGAACAAATGTATTACTGTAGTAGTTAAGAAAATTAAACTTGCTTGCCTTTGAATTCAACCAGTGAATTTGAGCTCCCATCCATAGTAAAATGTAGGACAAGCCTTCCCATTTAAGCTTCATATTGCACCATGGTAGTATTAAAGGCAACAGGCAGAAGAACCATTCAAAGTACTGGCTGTCATGATCTGCCAAAAAATAATAACCAATAAAACATAAGAATATCAAAAGAAGAACCCTATCAGAAATTCCCTATCCAAAGTATGAGCCCATAATTTCAGAAATAAAATTACTTCTGGAGGCAGATAGAGTGATTTTTCACGTAACAAGACTCGATAGTCCGATTTGCATTTTTAATTAGAACTAAAATAAGAAGGCAAAAAGAGATCTCAATTTCAGTGACAGTACAAGGCACTAGGTTGAATTCACAAACCTTGTTAAATGCTAGAAATGCTACCGTCTGCACAAAGAAACAGAATGGCAAATCCTGAGTGAAGCGGAGAATAAGAACTAGCTGAACAATAAGTTGAGGCAGAAAACAGATGAGTTTCTCTAAGATTAAAAACTCACGGTCGTAGTGTAGATAGATGTGATAAAAATATATGGAAAAATTGTGTCTTGGATCTGTACGGGTAAGATGGTATAGCAGAGCCTCATGCAAGAATTCCAAATTATATAGATAGAAGAAAATCCCAGTACAAAAGAAGAAGACAGCCACAGAGATCAGTCCCGACATAATTCTCTCTTGAAAACATGTTTTTCAAAGCAACAATAAATGGCATGGACAGTAATTCCCATGCCACTTAGACTCTGGGCTGACTTAACTTTACTAGAATTCCAATCCATAAGGACAGGCTTCTGAATAGATTGATAGTGGCAAGGATCAAGAACTAAGCTGATAGGAAGTGCATAGATTATAGGATAGATTTTAAAATGGACAACCAGCCCATACCAAAACACAGCTTGTAAAATATTACGTGTAAACCAGTAAATAAGACACAAAGAAAGTTAGGAATTATAATTATGTATTTATAATGACATGAAAGGAAATCTGTATTTGGTGCTTTAACCAAAGAGAGTCTAAAACTTATATCGAATGATTATATTCTTTTTCAGATTTAAAAGTAGTACTTTTTCTTGTTACTACGACAAGATTCTCCATAACAAACACCATTGAACAAAACAAAGCTTCCACACCAACTTCCCCCTTCCATGCCATGATGGAGAGAAGCCTAGTATTCTTAACTGAACCTGAAATACTTTCATATTCCAAATGCTAACATCAACTAAAATGATTAAATAATTGATACATTCATGTAAATCTCCCATAATGTTATTGTTATTTTCTTTCTTATATTTGATTAGTTTTAGTTTTTATTATTATTATTATTATTTTCTACATGTTCAGAAGTATCCTTCTTAAAAATATATATTTATTCTCAGGGATGGACCTAAATAATTATGTGCGAGGAGGCGGCCTTTAACAATAACAAGATAAAAAAAAAATTCAAACCTTGAGGTGGGGGCAATAGTAAGGTTTATTTATAATTTTAGTGGGGACAATTTTAAAATTTTATAGGTACATAATTCAAAGCAAAAAAAATTGTAGGTATATAAATAGCAACCAAAAAAAAATAAGTGGGAACAATTGCCCCCACTGGACCTTGAATAGGTCTGTGCATGTCTATTCTTAATTATGCGTATAGGGCTAACCCCATGGACAAGGCTCCCTTGCTATGGGTTTGAAGCAATCATATCTCCACGTCCAAGACCTCTAGGTCGTAATGAGCAACCTTGCATCAATGCCCACTCTCATTCTTAACCATACATATGTGTAAAACAGCTTTGCTTGTTAGGAACATTGGGATATTCACTAACTAAGCTATAAAACAAATCCAATTTACTTCATGATGCTGAACTATTCAATATATGGTGAACTGAAACCACAACAACATACATTAAGATTTCAACATGTATCTCCGGTCTATCCCACCCGATAAGCAATAGGGAAGTTCCGAGCCCTGCTAAGGGTCTGAATTTTGCAGGGAGGGGAGTTAGGTTCTGTGCAGCTAGATATTAAAATTTGTTTATTTTCCAATTAAACTCCTTATGCCATTCTTATTTGCCTCAAATATATATATATATATATATATATATATATATATATATATATATATATATTTGAGGCAAATAAGAATGGCATAAGGAGTTTAATTGGAAAATAAACAAATTTTACCCTAGTCAGCTCCCCCTTCTCTGAATCTTTGCTTTTATGTCCCATTTTTTGATTCCCAACTTCTCTAATGGGCACAAGGACTAATGACATTAATAGTGGAAAAAATATAACACAGCAGCAAAATTATATATTGAAGATAGAAGGAGGGGTGGTCAGTATTATTAGTATCACAAAAAATCGAAAAAGAGAACAATATTTACACATTGCAGTAGCCCACAATAGGATGGATTGACAACCAGAGTTCCACCACACACATTAACACCTAAAGGAGAAAAAAAGAAATGATCTCAAATGGTACCATCTTTATCAAAAGAATCAAAATGTACCAAAAGAATTTTCTCATACACAAAGATATTAATGTATGTAGAGATTTTGGCCATCCCTTTGATAAATTACAGCTGTCACGGATTGTGTACAAGGAAATAAGAGCATCACGTGAATGATTCTAGGTGTGTAATTCATGAACTAGTTATCAGATATAAAAAAAGTATGAGAATTTAAAACTTATCATTTCATATCAAGTTTGTGACACCCATAATTCAATTACACCCTTTTTGTTAAGGCTTACGTTTAATTCAACATAAAAATGCCCCTCCCATTTATGGGTGTTTGGCTGACACACTTAGAAACAACAGTTTAGCTGAGGCATTTAATCAAACAGTTGATGGGCAGAGTTATTTAACAAGATCTAAAAACAAACACAAAACCAAAAATAAAAAAGAAAGGATTTTAATTTGTTGTGAAAGGAGACAAGTTCTCACTTCTCAATAGTTAAAGATGTGGTCCACCACCATATTTTATGACTCTGCATTAATTGAAGTTTTTCAGGCAAAACACTTGACACAACAACTACAAAATTAAGAACATCAATAAGTAAATCACAGTATCAAAGACCACACATTTTTTTTTTTTTTTTTTTTTTTTCTGCAGCTTTATATCGATTGAATAATTGGAATGCAGGAAATAAAAGATAAAAAAAGCAGTGCCTATGTTTACCTTTCGAGTACTGTCTTTGATTCATGGTCTAGTCTTCATGTTCATCTCCTCTATACCATTTACAGTCGCAAACATTGAGAATAAGATCTGTGGATCATCTTCGTCTCTCACTCCAAACTTTCAAAAACCCGTTTCAGAATGGTATTGGGAATCATAGAAAAAGCTTGAAACACTCAATTTCTCATTTTCTTTGAGCATCGAACAACTGAACTCCCATGTTTTTTTTCTTTTATTTTTTGGATTGTTATTATACCAACCCATCAAATCATTTCAGAAAATCATTACTAAAACAATATATATATATATATATATATATATATATATATATATATATATATATATATAGGAGTGTCGATTACTAAAAATAACACTAATTTTGAAACGGATTTAATGTGGTCTTTGTAACAGTAACTTATAAGAATGTGAGTCACGATTATTAAAGATGACACTAATTTTAAAGAGGAATAATTTTTTTCCTGAAAAAAAATTTACATACACCACACACACTTCTTCCTTGAAAATAACCCCAAAAAAATCACTTGGCACAAGACCTTGGTAATTATAAAATATTATTGCTTAGAAAATAACCCTCACAGTATTGTTTTTTCCTTACAAAAACATCATATTCAAAATTTAAAGAATGTGTTTAATGTTTTCATCAATTTAATTATAGTTCTTAGATATGTCATTCAATTAGCACACGTGTCCATTCATGGTGGTTTCACTCTCAAGTCTCAACTTTAGATATATCTTGATGATTTCAGAATATATTTACAAAGTATTAAAAGTTGTAAGAAAATCATATTTCAGACTCAATATTAGTACGATCATGACAAAAATGAGTAATACTACCTATCTCAAAAATACTAGGTTGAATAAATATCACAGGTTCGAATATATTTATCAATCTAGCATGTACCATTAGTATTGGATTCAATGACCCATCACAACCTCTTAATTAAACAAATGACATTATAAATTTACATTAAACCCATATTGAGAATGCTGAATTAGCGTCTTAAAATTAAAATTATAAAAAATTGAGAGATGGTAAATGTATGACATTTTAAATCAAACACACTAGGTGGGTTTTTTTTTCTGTTTTTATTTTTTTATTTTTTATTTTTAATGACAAACATACTCCTAATACTTGATCAATTTTTTTTATTATTTTTTTTCATGACAAACGTGTTAAGAGTTAGTGATTAGCGATTAGTGGTGGTTAGTGGGGAGAAGTGTGAAGGTTCACAGCCGAGCTTCCAAAGATCAGAGAAACAACCTTATCTTTTGGAATATGAAAGTACCTTTCAATTATTATTCAAAATATATTATAACAAAACATTTATTTTATTTCGATTAAAACAAAACGCTTAATTATTTGGAGAATAATGGACCTGGGCCATGTATTGACAATGGACATTCGATATAAATGGAGGTCACATGGTGGTGGGTTGGTTCTTTAATTAGGTGGTACTAGCCCAACCCACATTGTTATGCAG